AATCACATGGTATTGTCATTTCGATACAAGCATCGGCACAGTGTGTGATACAATAGTGCTTTGAAAACTGTGTCGGAGCATCAGAGCCTCGGTATCAATCGTCCCATCACTAATAAGTCACGTAGTGTAAATAACGAAAGACAAACGCAGGTCTACACAGAAACCAAACCAAACGATAAAGATGGCTCCGAAGATAACAAGACGCTGTGCAGTGCCAAATTGTGGACAAACACAGTCTTTGCATAGCCTTCCATTGGGTCCCAACAGGAAAGAGTGGATTAGTTTTATTTCTTAATGATGTTATAGACCGCATTAGTAAAAGGTTGGTCTTTTGTTCACTTCATTTCACTGCGGATTCGTTTACAAACAAGACACAATTCGACGCCGGATTTTCAGAAAGACTTAAAGGGGTCATATGATGCTGCTAAAAAGAACATTATTTTTTGTATTTGGTGTAATGAAATGTGTTTATGCGGTTTAAAGTAAAAAAACACATTATTTTCCACATACTGTACATTGAAAAATTGAAATCGCATCATATGACCCCTTTAAAATTAAAAGACGATTCTTCGCCGACTATATTGGATGTACTGAGTATTTGCGTGTTTAACTTAAATCACAGCAGCATCCATCTGTGAAGGATGTAGGCTTTCAAACATACACAACTGTTAGCCAATCATAGCGGTGGGCGTTTACTTCCTAGTCTAATCCGTCACACCTATTCAAACTAGCGTTCCGATGAGAAGAGGCCAAAACAGCTGAACACGCAGCGCCAGGTGGAGCATAGAATACTTATTTAAGTAGGAATATTTGTGTATATACGTGTGTAAGAATAGGAAAAGCAAAAACAAGGAAGAAATTGATTATAAATAAACCATGACTGCATAACAGCAAAAGTAGGTGGCGATATGCACACAGGATGTTACACGCCAAAAAACGGAAGAAGAAGAGGCCAAAACAGGACAGAAAATAGCATATTACTGCTAAAATATTATGTTTTTGATGTAAATATCGTGATAACATTATAAGTGGACCTCAGAGAACAGTACAAAATAACAACAAAGGCAGTTCATGACCCGTTTAACACCTTTTTACACATGCATCAATTAAATTATATTATATATAAGCATAGTATAATAGTTAACTTGCTTTGCACTCAAGAAGAGTGAACGATCCTGTTTAGGGCCTTGTGGGGAAAATGTTGCAAGAAGAAAGTGTTTTGTGCTGCAGAGCAAAAAAGGATCAGTAACCCTGTTTGCAATATGTTCACAAAGCAGAGGCAGGTAAACATACCCATGCAACATCTTTTCCCCCACTAACCTGGGGAGAAGTGTGTTTAGTGGGAGTGGAAAAGCAAAAACACTTGATACATCTGTAGTGAGAAGAGACGCACATAGCTCACAGCTGTCTTATGTTTGTTCTACTGCAAAACACATGCTCTTTCCATTAGCATCCGGGAGCTTGTGAGAATAGCTCTGACAGCTAGCTTTTATGATGCCATTCCACACACTTTTACATGGAATTACTGCAGTTGAAATGATATATGTCATGCTTTCCAAGTTACAGAGCTCATTTATATATACTTGGCATGTTTGCTTTACTGCTCTTGGAATGTTAAGTAAAAGGTGGTGTAAATTGATATAAGCATGTGTGATGATTTGCCATTGGAGGCAATAGATGATGACTCTTAAAAGCACTATTAAAACCTGGAGTAGATGGTTGGGATTGAATGCTGAAATACATTTCAATGACCAGAAGTGCTGTAACATTTTTAAGCATAACAACATCATTCCATGAACAGACAATCCATTTTTTATTTCCTGGCAATTAACCCTTTTCGTGTACCACAGCTCACAGATGTTTGAGTTTATTGTAGTTAAATGAAGCTGACATAACAAGCACCACTGGGTTGACTGGCATGATATACTAGCTTTTTTATAACATAATATAAACATTCATTTGAATTTAATGTAAAATAAAGATAAAATAAGTAATGTTGTGTTGGTTATTTGATTCTCTACCATGAATACTCTACCCCATTTCCATCTCATTTCCATGTTCACAAGCTTAAGTCCTCTACGCAAAACACTGTCATACTCATAACAAAACACAAGTGCTTTGTGTCATGCTCACTATGTGGGGCTGATGGCATTTGAACTCTTCCCCTTCTCTCCTACCACCCACCACCCAGTCTTAGGCTTGAGCTGATCTCAGTACGGTTATACCCTTGAGAGGTCAGCAATAATATGGCTCTATTTTTGGGGAATGTTCCAGAGACCAAGCTTCCACAGACTCTGCTGCGCCAGAGAACTTCAACTTAAATGAAAAGGAAGACCAGACTTGCACTGAGGTGAAGACCGAGATTGTAACATGGACTATTAAAACAAACGCAGGAACACAAGATATCAGACACAGCCCAGCAGAAAATGCTGAAGGTATGATATAAAACAACAAATGCATCACAGCTATAGTGTTTAACTACTTAAAGTAATACTTGAATATTTAAAATTGTGTGAAACTGTTGGCTTCATTTGTTTGTTTCTTCATTATTTGTAAAAACAAGAATGCACTGAGTTTGTACCAGTTTTACAGAATATTTTATGGATTTAACAAAAAGCAAGTGCTCAACTGTAATCCTTCAGCACTCTTATCACTATTATCATAATTTTTTCTTTAACTTGACAAGGACATGACTTAAATGTAATTTAATTTTTGCATTAAAATTAAGATTTTAGACGTTTCAGTGAGGCATTTATGTTGTTGGGACGGGACAGAACAATACCATGAAGAGAAATAAACAACAAATGAGAAAGACAATATAAGATAAACTATAAGATAAACTCCAACTTATTTAACCAATGTGAACATATACAGACTTGCCTTTGCTATTTATTGGAGAGTATTATGTTATTATTATTAGTGTTTAAAGACCAGCAATGAATTGTAGACCTTTTCTAAGAAAAGTGTGTTATAAGAAAATATCATATGAAGACAGTCCTTCTATTGCAGCATGAAACCACAATCTCAATTTTAGAAGTATTTACAAAATGGCAATCGTTTCATCAGTACGGAGCCCCAAAAGTAACATTTGAAAGATTGAAAATGTGACGTTCATGTGCGCATTATTGCGTGATGGGATAGGATGGGAATTCTGGCTCTTTTTATGGAACCGGATAATTTGGTTCAGCTCTTTCAGCTCTCAAACGGCTCTTCATTTAGTAACTCCTCTGGCTTTTTAAATTCAGCCAAATTTAGTAATGTTTGGCCCAGGGGCGGTTCTAGGATTTTATCCACAGGGGGGCTGAGCCCTCAGACACATTAGATACAAATTACCTAAATAAACTTTATAGTGCTTGTGAAAACTGCATTATTATATGAAGTAAATATACACAAATATCCATTAAAGCTACAGAAGTTACTTAGTTAAGAGCAGAGTGATTCTCTGTTTTTCTTTTGTTGTTTCATTAACATTATTAACCTAAGAAGTGCACGGGTCCATTATATTAATGCACATCCGCTATTTTCTTAACTGTTCACTTTCACTTAAGACGTTATTGACAGTTTTTACGTTGATACTCATCAAGACAGCCACTCTGACATAATTTTGTACCTATTTGCTCAGTACGCGAAAGAGAACTCCATTAGGTATGTGCGTGCTGTCTGAGAGACGGCTTGGTTGCATGCGTGCTTCAGGTTTGTGCGTGCACAGAGACGATCTATGACATCGGGTAGCTACCCACGTTTAAAATAGCGCCAGCTTTCTGCTGTATGACCTGCCTTTAGTTCAGTGTTTTTCCTTCGAATGCAACTATATGTTTGATCAATTGGAAACAGAGCTTTTGGTCATTTTAACAAGAAATCGTTCTCGATAAATGATCTTTTAAAAGAAAATCAGTGTGGCACGCAAAGTTCCGTTTTGTTGGCATGTTTTGTTTGATGCTGATTGGAGCACTACCGTTTGGGAATACAGGGTAAAGCCGATCACATAAGTAGCACAAAAACAGCACAAAACTTACAAGATGAAATGATATGAGCATATGTCTGTGTGTTAGATTGGATAAGCACTGCAGCTTTTGGGAAGCACCTATCAGATCATAAAATCCTATAAAAAATTCAAGCAAAGAACAACAGTTTTGTTTTTGATGCTCTGTTCTCTATTTTCTGTCAAGGTAGTGTTTACAAAAAAATCATAGGCATCCTCCTTTGCTTTTATATGGTAAACACACCCAAACTAATGCACCCACAGTCCTTAAGCTTGTTTTTTTATTATTTCTTTATTTTTTCCCCAGGTGAAGCCTCTGCTGAGTCAGAACACCAGACGGCTAGTCCGGAGGTGATCTATGATGATGTACCCTGTGAAGATCTGTCTTCAGGAGAAGGTCAGTCATAGATTGTCATTTTAGCATACATTATAGATCTCCAAGACTGTTTGATTGTTGCATGTATCTGGGTGTTTCTTCAACAAGCACTTTTATGTACCAGGGGTATAAAATATTCAGATTTCAGATTTCTCCTCTTTGTTATATGAAGGTCATATTAAAACTTTTGAAAACTATTTACTATACTCTTATAATTAATCTATCTACTTACTAAACATATTTTATAGTTTTACTCATGTTTCAGTTTAAGATGTTCAATCTTAAAATATAAAAATTCATCATAAAATATTAATTGGTTCATTTACTAATGATGATAATCTAAACAAAGATTGAAATTTTTTCTGCAACGTTTCGGTCATGCAACCTTCATCAGGCACTGCAAGCTATAGCAGTGTGTGGGATTCATCTATTTTTGTTAGATTATTTGGTTTTCTTATTTCCTGCGCACCTGCCTGTACGATGTAGTAGAAGTTGCAGTGGCATTTCATTATAATTGATTATATGAAAATGGCTTATATCTGTTTTTAATTTCTAATTTAAATTTCTACAGTAGAACTAGACAGTGTATAAATATAGCGTAATTCATATAAAATGAAATGTATATTTTTAATAGAATTAATGAAACTATTAGGCCTAACTATTTAACTATTAACATGTTGATTATAAATTTATTTATACATCACATTTCAGCCATCTATCTAGTGTCACACGTTTTATTAGGCTGCTTGCAATGTTGAAAATAAAAATATTTACTGCCACGCGACCGTTTTTTTGTGCTGACTAAAAATCTTGCCTCATGTCATTTTCACCGCAGAATGTAATCAAACACAATTGTTCATTTGAGCTGGAGATGGAAATCACAGTTTTTGATGTGGTGGAAATCACATTTTTCACAAGGGCTAAAAGTGTCTATAGTTGAAGAAGCACCCATCTATGTCTTATATAGATATTTTTTTTCACCATGTCATTGTCAGAAGTCCTTCAGTGATTTACAGGACTGTATATCTGCATTGCTTTGTGTGTCAGCTGACTTGATCTATGAGGACATTCAGAAAGAGGAGGGCTTGCAAGGGCCCAATAATGGCTGGAGCTCAAGTGAGTTTGAAAGCTATGATGAGCAGTCCGACTCTGAGAGGGCTCCAACCCGCAGCAAGGTGCGTGTGTGTGTTAATTCAAGACTCCCCACTACTGCAATAATTACATCCTGACAAGCATCTGATTAATCTTCACACACATTTCCACATTCCTCATAATGATAAACTACAAAGGTTCATGAAAAGATTTAAACCCTCTAAGATTGCAGGCTGATTGATTGGTACATGGATCGATGATTTATTTTAGATGCGGGTTCTTGTGATACTATAATGGTCTGTGAAGGATTGCTGCCACAAGAGTGCAGTGTTGGCCAGCACTTGCCTAATCGCTATTAATGCCAGGCATAACTGACACACTTTTCCACTGCTCTGTATTGCTTCAAATTTGAATTCAGTGTGCACTGTGTTATCTGCCCTTACACGTTCATGAGGTCACAGTGGTATGGAAAACACTTTGCCCAGGTGGCAGTCCCTCAGAAACCAATTTCCCATGGCCAGACTCACCTTTACCTCCGCTGAATTAGGCTCCATAAGATTCCTACTGCCAGACGACTCATGATAAGCAAGAATTAGATTGCTGAGTCTAATACCACAGTGATTTGAGCTCAGTTTAACAGTTATTCCTCCAGCTTGTTTAGTGCATGTATAATTGGAAAGGAATGATTTTCTTTCGAAAGGTGTCAAAAGTTCCTATAATGGGCTTGTTAAGATTAAAATGCACTCACAAGGACAAACAAGCAACAGTTGACAGTTGACTAATTGGGCTATGGTCTTTTCAACTGCGTCAGAAACCATTTAATTATGAAAAAATAATAGTAACTGACATATTTAATGACTGCAATGTCTGTTTTTCTGTAGAAATGGATATCAAATATTTATGAATATACACTACAGTTCAAAAATTTGGGGACAGTAAGATTTTTTTATTTAGCAAGGATGCATTTAATTAATCAAAAATAACAGTAAAGACTTTTACAAAAGGTTTCAATTTCAAATAAATGCTGTTCTTTTGAATTTTCTATTTGCCGAAGAATCCTAAAAACAAAAAACAAACCAAAAACTGTTTTCTATATTGATGATAAGAAAAATTTTGTGAACACAAAAATCAACATAATCGAATGATTTCTAAAGGATTCAGTGATATCAGAGCCATTGAAGGCAGCATAGATGCATCCTTTGAAAACAGAACAGATTAAGGCATATTATTCGCCAAACATTGTTACACAAACATTGGACTTGGATGTTATGCCTTCCTACCTCGGTTTTGGACGCAGCCTATGGCTTTGTTTTGGAAAATTCGGAGGTCCTCGTCTGAGATTCTCATTAGTGAGGATGTACGTTCTGTCATAATCTTATCTTCCTCTGTCTATCCCACCCTGCTTTGACTTAAAAATTAAGCCATGCCCCTGGTTCCAGTCATTTCTCTTGCATATGCTTTTGTGGTTGATCTTGATTTTGCCTTGCCCTCATGCCTTCATTTCCCTCACTTTTATGCTTACCCCTTCATTCCTTGCTCTCCTCCATGTTGCCATGTTATTGCGCTCTGACCCATGGCCTGCGTTGTTGCCGTGACGATACCTGTAGCTCTCCCCTGATGTGCGACGACTGAGAGAACGTTACACCAGGACCAAACAGGAGCTAGCCATGAGACTGGGGGGCAGACATCAGGTACACTCATGCACGTATGGGGAAGAATGGGCTTTAGCCGGGTGAACTAGCTCGGAGCTGTCAATTAGCGCAATCACAGTCACCTGGGTTCAAGGATACACTCCTCTTTTTCACTTTTCCCTGCTGAAAGGAACAGTGTGAATTTCCATGCTGGTTTATGCTGGTCTGTTGTTGCTGACCAACATAGACATGCTGTCAAACAGCCAAACTGAAATGTAGTAAAGAAGCCTGGTAGCATACTGACATCCCAGCATCCCATGCTTGGAACCGCATTCAGCACAGGATATGTTAGTCGTTTTCAGCAGGGCAAATCTTTTTCCTTTGAGTTTTCACTTTCTCTGTGTCTTGCTTTTCTGTCTTTCTTTTTTTTCTCTGTGTTCTGAATCTCAGGGTCCATAGAGTGATTGCTGCTCCCTACAAACAGAGCAGAAGAGATACCTGTAGAAGTTCACTGCACTTGATTTAGTTTGGTCATATGAATATTTGAATTTCATGTCATCAAACACAGACAACAAATAAGCCATGCAGCTTGTCTGTATATACTGTATAATATTATATACGTTACAAAATACTATATAAGTTTTTATATAATTTATTATTAAAATATAAAATAATACAATTAGCGTAATTTACAATAGATACACTATTGCTCAAATGTTTTGAGGTAAGTAGGATTTTAAATATTTTTTTTCAGCAAGGATGCGTTAATCTGATGAAAAGTGACAGTAAAGACATTTACATTGTTACAAAATAAATCCATTTTAAAAAATGGTGTGCTTTTGAACTTTGTTCAACAAATTTGCTTGAATTTCTGTTTGATCAAAGTAAGTTTCCTTGTACACTTGCTGTGAATTGATATATTGATAATATTTTTTATATGCTATTTGTTCCCGATTTGAAATCTCACTTAAATCTTGCAATCTGAAGTCCACTTTGCAGAGCCGTCTCTCCTTTTTCTCTTGTTGAAAGTCCCTCTCTGTATCTCACTTTCTCTTTCTCTGTTGTAAACAAATCTTTCAGACCATTTCAGCTATCAATATTCAACTAAAATACTCCATTTTGCTTCAGTTTCCCTAATCTCTAATTTGATTTGTATGAGGGTGGGTTATGGGCACGCTTCTGTATATATAAAGTAAAGAGCTCTCATGTGGTTCAAGCAAGACATTTCCACATACTCTCTATTAATGACCTGCTTTCACAGAGATGGGACAGCCCCCTCCTTTTTTAAATATAAAAATATCACTGTAGCTCTATGTTCTCTCACACACTTAAGATCTTGTGGCTTGTGGCCATTGAAACAGACCCTGTAGAGCACACACCCAACTGCCGCCCTGACGGACTGAACTGGTGCCTCACAAATGGCAGGCGAACCGGAGCATAGCTGTTTACGCTCAAGGACTTGAGATGGTCGACCTTTTTCCATAAGGGTTTACCACGTCTCTGGTTATGGAGGAACTCCAGCTCGGCTGCCCATGATTTTCTGTTCCCCTCTGGTCCCTTTTGCAGGTCCATCAGCTGATGCGGGCGGCATGCAGCGGAACGAAAGATGGCCTGGAGAAGACCAAAATCGCTGTAATGAGGAGAGTTTCATTCCTACATAAAAAGGAGCACTCAGGTAATCTAAGAATGATTTCATTTGAGAATTTATCTTCTTTCAAGCACTCATCCTCACTCCTTTTCCTTCGATAGAAAAATATCCCATTCAGGAAAGAAGCAATTATACATTTCTAATGCTTTTTCTCTCAGATGGACAGGGCTGTTCATTAAATTAAGCTAGACCTCTTTACAGATGGCAGATGATCTGACTGTCACCGAGTCAGACATGATAGAAAAAGTCTGATGGAGTCCAGGACCTCTCAGTGCTTTCTTGAATTCTGCTTTAAAAAAAAAAAAAATAAATAATTGACTCCTGGAGGTCGGAAGCTGAAAAAAGGATCATGTGAAATATTTGGGAAGCAGGAAAGCAATATAAATCAGATTGAGTTTTTAAAATAAAAGGTAGGGAGAAGAGCTGATGAGGGCATTTGATGTACAGGAAAATTGGCTGAGATTGGTCCCCATAATGCCCTACTGCACAATGGGGTAAGACTACCATTTGGAAGTGGAGACTGGTGCAATGCCTATTGAAACTGCACTCTAAATGATGTACCACACTGCATATAGTGATAAACATTTTGATTTGGAGGTTCTGTTATCATTTCTTTTATTATTTCAAGAGCCTGCAAAAACTTTGGATGTGGCTTAGAACAGCCTGCTCTGTAATGAGTTTGAATGTACTTTTTTTTTTTTTTTTCTGTTTGAGCATCTCTTTTAGCTTTGCAGGGGTATATAAAATGTTTGAACGTGTTTTTGTGTGTCCTGACAGATGACACTGAGGATGATACAGGGTATCTGGATGTTATGGTATCAGAGGCAAAACACCCACCTGCACAACTGGGACCAATGCCAGATGGGCTTAGCAGCCAACAGGTGCGTGTATATGAATTTATTGGCATTTTTAATAGCCAAAATATACACATTTGAGAGAAGCCATCACTTTGGTAGTAACATTTGCATGAATATTGTCCCAACCAAAGAGAAGCTGTTTTCTTTTCAAATTCATACATCTGTGTCATTGTGACCATAATGACTTGAACTTTATTTTCTCTTTTGTCACTTATTGTGGAGGTCTTTGTCCAAATTTAAATCAGTATTGTTGACTTTCCAAAGTGAACTGTGGAAAGGCAACAACAAATTTGCTTGCTCAAAATATTTTTAATTAGGAAAATCTTCATCAGTACTTCTATATTAATATAAGTAACATAATATAGATTTAATAAATGACAGCTGTAATATAATTTCTTATGCAAGCATACATACACACACATAGATATGTGTTTGAGTAAAGTTATCATTTTTGTTTTATTCTAAATCTACTGACAACATTTCTCCCGAATTGCAAATAAACATATTACCATTTAGAGCATTTATTTGCAGAAAATGACAGCTGGTCAAAACAAAAAAGATGCAGTGTTTTCAGACCTCAAATAATGCAAAGAAAAACAAGTTCATATTAATTTTTAAACGACACAATACTAATGTTTTAACTTAGGAAGAGTGAATGACTTTATGCCACTTTATGCCACTCCTTGCATAAAAATTCAAGCTGCTCAACTTTGTTTGATGGTTTGTGACAATCCATCTTCCTCTTGATCACATGAGGTTTTCAGTGGGGTTCAGGTCTCAGGTCTGGAGATTGGGCTGGCCATGACAGGGACAGGGTCTTGGTCTAGTGGTCCTCCATCCACACCTTGATTGATCTAACTGTGACACATGGAGCATTGTCCTGCTGGAAAAAACAATCCTCAGAGTTGGGGAACATTGTTAGAGCAGAAGGAAGCAAGTTTTCTTCCAGGACAACCTTGTACGTGGCTTGATTCATGTGGCCTTCACAAAGACTAATGTGCCCGATTCCAGCCTTGCTGAAGCACCCCCAGATCATCACGGATCCTCCACCAAATTTCACAGTGTGGCTTGTAGGCCTCTATTCTTCCGAACCGTTCTCGCCATGCACTTCATCCCAGCTGCCGTTTGCCTTTCTTTTTGTTGAGTGACATTTGAATGATTTGGCGGTCATTTGGCGGTCAGCAGAGAGTCGTTTTCGACCACAGCAGTGGTTTTTATACTTTTCCTTGTTAAATAAGGTTTGGTTCAGGTGATCACCTAATATGTACGTCATGAAGCAGAATGAGGTGTGCCTGTGTTGGAATTGAACAGACAATGGAATGGAATGGCTGCCATACATGTATATATGTGACCCTGGACCACAAAACCAGTCTTAAGTAGCTGGGGTATATTTGTAGCAATAGCCAAAAATACATTGTATGGATTATTATTGATTTTTCTTTTATGCCCAAAATCATTAGGATATTAAGTAAAGATCATGTTCCCTGAAGATATTTTGTAAATTTCCTACTGTAAATATATCAAAACTTCATTTTTGATCAGTAATATGCATTGCTAAGAACTTCATTAGGACAACTTTAAAGATGATTTTCCTCAATATTTTGATTTTTTTGCACCCTCAGATTCCAGATTTTCAAATAGTTGTATCTCAGCCAAATATTGTCCTATCTGGAGCATTGTCCTGCTGGAAAAAACAATCCTCAGAGTTGGGGAACATTGTTAGAGCAGAAGGAAGCAAGTTTTCTTCCAGGACAACCTTGTACGTGGCTTGATTCATGTGGCCTTCACAAAGACTAATGTGCCCGATTCCAGCCTTGCTGAAGCACCCCCAGATCATCACGGATCCTCCACCAAATTTCACAGTGTGGCTTGTAGGCCTCTATTCTTCCGAACCGTTCTCGCCATGCACTTCATCCCAGCTGCCGTTTGCCTTTCTTTTTGTTGAGTGACATTTGAATGATTTGGCGGTCATTTGGCGGTCAGCAGAGAGTCGTTTTCGACCACAGCAGTGGTTTTTATACTTTTCCTTGTTAAATAAGGTTTGGTTCAGGTGATCACCTAATATGTACGTCATGAAGCAGAATGAGGTGTGCCTGTGTTGGAATTGAACAGACAATGGAATGGAATGGCTGCCATACATGTATATATGTGACCCTGGACCACAAAACCAGTCTTAAGTAGCTGGGGTATATTTTTAGCAATAGCCTAAAAAACATTGTATGGGTCAAAATTATCGTTTTTTGTTTTATGCCAAAAATCATTAGGATATTAAGTAAAGATCATGTTCCATGATGATATTTTGTAAATTTCCTACCATAAATATATCAAAACTTAATTTTTGATTAGTAATATGCATTGCTAAGAACTTCATTTGGACAACTTTAAAGGCGATTCCCTTTCGATACTACACTCGTACTGCGTCTTGCTTAGACGCATATGGGAAAAACCCATATTTCTCCTGAACTGAAGCCTTCTTCATTCATGCAGTGAAACTGCATGGCCAGTGGTTCGTGCAGTGTATTAAAAAACGAACAAATGGCTAGGCAGCGGAGCTGCACGCGCCTATGGCGACGAAGCCTGCCAAAGCCCGCCAGAATGGGCGGGGCGTCTGGCTATATAAGCGGGCGTTCGCCACAGGATTCTCAGATTTCTTCTCCTTCAG